CCATTAAGGCTAGCATGTTCTTACACAAAGGATCGGTACGAGTTTGTGTTTCTGCTGCGTCTTTTCAATCCGACCGAAAATTCTCCGTCCTTCAAAAAGTGTTCACCGCTGCAGCGCTGGCCTCATTTTAGGATCGGCGTTTTGATCCCGTCGTTCAGACTTGCGTTTTCGCTCCAGCGCGGGCCACACTTCTAGATCCGAATATTTCGTCGTCGCTGTCGTCCCATTCCTTTCCCCTCCCCCGCCTTCCCCTGGCCCTCTTACTCCTCCTGCTGCTCCGGCTCCTGCTGCTGCAGTTCATCATCGTCCTTCTCTTTCCTCATCCTTCTTCCCTTCCCGCTGCTCATCCTCCTGCCCATCCGCCACATATTCCTCCTCCTCATCTTCCACCCTTTCTTCTCTCATGATAAACTAGAGGCACGCGTGCCAAGGATCATACAATCACGGATGTGGGAGCCTGGGAAATGGCGATGGCGCCAACCTGTGGTAGTTTCGGGGAAGCGCGCGAGGGTTCCGACACGCTGAGCTATGGCGTGAAGAACTTGTCATGGCACTGTGAGCTGGTGGCGTGTCTATTACTCTTCAGGGCCATGGTGCTATTGGGCGTCTCTGGGGCTTATTGGGGGTCTTGTGTGGGCCCGTCTGGAGTTCTTTTTGGCTGTCTTGGGGCAAATTTGAACTGTCTTGGGGCCTTTTTGGCCCATCGTGTGGACCCGGGAGGGGCCAAGAGCACGGCAGAAGCGGAGGGGGCACGGTCGGCCGGTAGGGAAGAACAGACGGGGGGGGCCAAGGGCCGGAAGGGGAGGGACACGGGGGTGGCCGGAGAGAGGGGAGGGGGGGACGGTCGGTCGGCGGGGGCCTCGGGGCGGAGGGGAGGGTCACGGTCGGTCGGTCGCCCCCCACCCTGCACCCCCCCCCTGCAAAGCAGACCCCCTCCTGCACCCCCTCCCCCTGCAGAGCGACCACCCCCCCCCCTGCAGAGCGGACCCCCCCCCCCTGCAGCCCTGCCCCCCGCCCCCCTGCAGAAGCGGACCCCCCCCCTCCCTGCACCCCCCCCTGCAGAGCAGACCCCCCTCCTGCAGCCCCCCCCTGACAGAGCGGACCCCCCCTCCCCTGCAGCCCCTCCCTCGACGGGGGCCACGGGGCGGAGCGGGGGGGGGCACGGTCGGTCGGTCGGTCGGAATAAGCCGACGGGGGCCACGGGGCGAAGGGGCGCGGGGGGGGGGCAGGGGCCGGGAGGGCACGGTCGGGCAGGGGGGGGCACAGTCGGTCAATTGGTCGGAATAAGCAGACAAGGGAGGGCCACGGGGCGGAGGGGAGGGTCACGGTCGGTCGGTCGGTCGGAATGAGCAGACGGGGGCCACGGGGCGGAAAGAGGGGCGGCACGGTCGGTCCGTCGGCCGGTCGGAATAAGCAGACGACGGGGGCCACGGGGCGGAGCGGGGGGGGCACGGTCGGTCGGTCGGAATAAGCAGACGGGGGCCACGTGGCGGAGGGCGCGGGGGCAAGCAGGGGGACGGGAGAGCACAGTCTGACAGGGGGGGGCACGGTCGGTCGGTCGGTCGGTCGGAATAAGCAGACGGGGTCACGAAGCGGAGGGACGCGGGCGGGAGCAAGGGGACGGGAGGGCACGGTCGGGCAGGAGGGGGGCACGGTCGGTCGGTCGGTAGGAACAAGCAGACAAGGGCCACGGGGCGGAGGGGGGGGGGCACGGTCGATCGGTCGGTCGGAAGAAGCAGACGGGGGCCACGTGGCAGAGGAGAGGGACACACATCGCAGCACGTACCCCAGCGGGGAGGGAACACGGGAACGGGAGGGCACGGTCGGGCACGAAGGGGGGCACGGTCGGTCGGTCGGTCGGATAAAGGAGACGGGGGCCACGGGGCGGAGGGTCGCGGGGGGCGCGGTCGGTCGGTCGGTCGGAATAAGCAGACGGGGGCCACGGGGCCGAAAGGGGGGGGCACGGTCGGTCGGTCGGAATAAGCAGACGGGGGCCACGGGGCGGAAGGGAGAGCAAGGCGGTCGGTCGGTCGAAATAAGCAAACGGGGGCCACGGGGCGGAGGGGCGCGAGGGGGAGCAGGGGCACGGGAGGGCACGGTCGGGCAGGACGGGGGGCACGGTGGGTCGGTCGGTCGGAATAAGCAGACGGGGGCACGGGGCGGACGGGTGCGATGTGGGCAGGCAGAGCACACGGGGGCACACGAAGCCAGCACACATCCGAGCACATATCCCGGCGGGGGAGAGCAGGGGGACGGGAGGGCATGGTCGGGCAGGAGGGAGGGCACGGTCGGTCGGTCGGTCGGAAAAAGCCACGTGGCGGAGGGGCACGGGGGGGCAGGCAGAGCACACGGAAGCGGCACGCACCCAGGCCACACACTAGCACGTATCCCAGCACACAAAGCCAGCACACATCCCAGCACGTCCCAGCACACGGAGGCAGCACACAGCCCTGCACACATCCCAGCACACGAACGCAGCAGACGTCCCAGCACACATCCCACCACACATCCCAGTCCAGCGCGCATCCCAGGCACGGTCGGTTGGTCGGTCGAAATAACGCAGTGCGAGATCACACCGGCAGGTATGATAATAACTCCTCCCTGCCGCGCCCCGAGACGCGTCAGTAGGGCGGGCGCTTCGCCTGAGACTTCCTCGCCACTGAGGACCCCTGAGACGAAAATTTGCCATAGTTTCACGGATGTCGGGCTGTACATCACCTGTCTGGCCTCGCCGCCCTGGCCAAAAGCCAGGGGGAGGAGGGGTTGAAACGCCGAGCGCGGGCAAGGACGCCTGACGATTAGAGGGGAAACCCCAAAGGGGAAGAGAGGGGCAGGAAGAGGGGAGAGGAACCTGAAGGCGGAGGAGGCGGGCGCGCGGCCGTGGGACCTGAGCCACCGACCCCCACCGTTAGGCGCGCGCGCGCGCCCGCCTGGAAGGCAAGGAGCGGGAGAAAAGAAGGAGAGGAGGGAAGGACACTCACCGAAAAAATATGGCCAGGCAGGAGGGGCAGCTGACAAAAACTCTGGCTTGGGCGCGGTGCCCATCGGAGGGGGATCTTCAAAATGCGTTTCCCGCCTTAGCGCCGCGCACACTCGTCAAAACAAATCGAGAGCTTCACGGATGGAGGGTGGTACCTGTTCCAAATGTGGCTCTCGCCTGCACGCCGCGCACATTCGTCTTAACAGTTTACAAGAGCTTCGGATTATTATGTTTGACGTCCCAGAAAGTATGTGTTGGTACGATGTAGGACTGTCAGGGCGCAACAGTTACGTTGATTCGCTTCGTTGGACTTCCAGGAACGATGTTTTGGCACGGTTCAGGATTGTCAGGGCGCAACGGGAACGTTGATTCGCGGCGGTGAAGTCCAAGAATGGAGTTCTGGCGCGACTCGAAATTTTCAATCGGCTGCCCACCGACGGGGCACGTCCCTCAAGGAAAACAAATCTGTGTAGGGACCTATGAAGACGGAGCTTGGTGGGAGGATTCATTGCAACGTCGTTGATGAGTCTGGGGTTTACACTGGTCCTCCTCCTCCTTCTCCTCCACCTCCTCCTCCTCCACCTCTTCCTCCTTCTCCTCCTCATCATCGTCATCATCATCCTCATCCTCAACCCATCATCACCTATCCTTTTCCCTATAGGTGATACCAGAGGATAACCCCAATCATAATCGTTTTAAGGTTTTAGGGCTATGGGGCGATAAGGCTATAGGGCTAGAGGGCTATGGGGCTATCGGGCTACAGGGCTACGGGGCGATAGGGCTATACGGCTATTGGGCTATAGGGTTATGGGGCTGTTGGGCTGTAGGGCTATAGGGCTATAAGGCTATAAGGCTATAGGGCTACAGAGCTATAGGGCTATAGGGTTATATAGAGCTACCGGGCACCTGGGCACCCGGGCACCTGGGCACCCAGGCACCCAGGCACCCAGGCACCCGGGCACCAGGACGCCCCCGGGCACCCGGGCACCCGGGCGTGCGGCGAGGAGCGGCGGCAAACCTGACCTGACCATACGAATTTCCGCTAGGACCCCTACGGAGGCAAGCGCTGATTTGGGGGATACCTCCGCCCTGTCGCACCCCGAGGCGGGTCGATGGGCTGGGCGCTTCCCTCGAGACCTCCTCACAGTCATGATCCTGAAGTCCACAAGCTGCAGCAGCTTCGCGGCTGGAGGGCGGGAGCCTTTCAAATGTGGCTCTCGCCTCGGCGCCGCTTCAGAGTTTGCAGGAGCTTCACGGATGCAGGGCGGGTCGTTCCGCGCACGGGTGTCTCAAAAACCGCAGGCGTGTCACTCATGGAGGGCGGGCGGGTCGTTTTCGAAATGTGGCTCTCGCCTTGGCTCCGCGCACATTCGTCTGCAAAAACTGCAAGAGCTGCACTTGTGGAGGGCGGTACCTTTTCAGAACGTGGCTCTCGCCTGAGCGCCGCGCGCATTCGTCTTACCACTTTACAACAGCTTCAAGGATTCTGATGGCTCACGTCCTAAAAATGGTGATTTGACACGATTACAGACTGTCAGGACGTGAACGTCACGTTGAGTTGTGGAAGTGAAGTACCAGGAATGGGGTTTCAGCACGATTCAGGATCGTCCGGACGCAACAGTAACGTTGATCCGCGGCGATGAAGTCCCAGAAATGGTGCAGTGGCACGGTTGAAAATTGTCGGACTGTCATCTTCGAACGGGGCACTTCCCGCCGTGAAAATCAATCAAAGTAGAGACCTACGAAGAGGGAACTTGGAGGGAGGGTGTATTGGAACATCGTTGATGAGTTTTGGGTTTACACTCGTCCTCCTCCTCCTCCTCCTCCTCCTCCTCCTCCTCCTCCTCCTCCTCCTCCTCTGTACACAGCTCCCCTTTTCAGAGTGCGCGTAACACGATGGGGTCATTTTGGGTGTTCCAGGTCCGCTATGACACCCGATGGCGGATAAAGAAAAACCAGCGCATTTGCAAGGGATGGGATGCGAGGGAGGGAGGGGGGGACCAGGTAGGAATGGATAGGATGTCAGATTCGTTTGCGAACCAGGCGCCCCGCAGCGGGGTAGGGAGAGAGAGAGAGCGAGAGAGAGAGAGAGAGAGGAAGGAGGGGGGGGAGAGGAGGGAGGGGCCGAGGGAGAACGGGTCTGCATTGTGGGAGCCGAATCTGTCGGTTTTGGAAACAGGCGTATTAGCGATGACAAGAGGTAGCGCTGTACATCACCCAGAGCGTTGGTTGACATTAGAGATGAATCCTCGATCACACCCCCTGACATCTTTCAGAGCGCTGCACATCACTCCAGTCAAGCAGTTGCCAGTAGAGGCCTCGAGACAACTGCGCGGCGCCCCAGAGGGAGAGCACAATACTTGTGCATCTCGCACTGAGCTGCATCTGCGCACCTCGCACGAGAACCTCACTGGGGGGGGGCGCCAGGTCGCGACGGCCGGTCATGCATCGAGTGCAGATCCTGCCTGGGCCGGCCCGCGAGACGGCGCCGATCTCTCGTGTACCGCGCCACTCTGCGAGCGTGGCCTCGCACGCTTCACGAGCATTCCGTGCCGCCTGAGAAAAAAGCGCACCAATGCCAAGAATCGGGCCAATGTCGCTCCGTATGAGCCAGCGGTGGACCCCATACATCGTGTTTCTGGTAGCACATGTTGTGCAACCTGTGTGGTGCAATATGTGTTGTGCACTCTGTGTGGCGCAGTCCATGTTTGCAATCCATGTGGTGCACTCTATGCAGCCCAATCTGGGTTGTGCAAGCAATGTGCTGCAGGCTAGGTGGTGCAACCTATGTGGTTCAATCGTAGTGGTGCAATCTATACGGTGCAATCTATGTTGTGCAATCCATCACTTGCTCAACTTGAAGCTGTCCTCTCCACTGCTCGTGCAAACATCCCACCCTCCCACCCGCAACTTGGTCGCAAGACCTCTTAAGACAAGACCGTGACGGTAGGTACCACATGGCACTTGGCCACGACACCGACGCCGACGACGACAGCGACAACGACGACGACGGCGCCGCCGACACCGACTACGGCGACACCGACGACGTCTCCAACGACTTCGACGACGACAACGAGGACGACGACGACGACGACGACGACGACGACACCGACGACGACGACGACGCCGACGACGACGACAATGACGACGACGACGCCGACGACGACGACGACGACGCCGACGACGACGACGAAGACAACGACGACGACGACGACGACAACGACGTCGCCAACGAAGACGACGACGAGGGAGGAGGGAGGACGACGACGGCGACAACGACGACAACGACGACAACGACGAGGGAGGAGGGAGGACGGCGACGACGCGAACGACGAAGAAGGAAGTGACGGCGACGCCGACGACGACAACGACGAGGGAGGAGGGAAGACGACGACGACGACAACGACGACGACGACGACGACGGCGACAAAAGGGACGACGACGAGACGCCGACGACGGACGACGACGATGACGAGGGAGGAGGAGGAAGGACGACCACGGCGACAACGACGACGGAGACGACCACGACGCCAACGAGGACGACGACGACGAACACGAAGAAAGACATAGGACGACGTAGGCGACGACGACCACGACGACGCGGGAGGAGGGAGGACGGCGACGACGACGACGACGACGCAAGAGCGCGCGCGCTCGCTTTTGTTGAAAATCCATGTTGCGAAACCTTGGGTTTTTGTAGGTTTTTTGGACACACGATTTTCAAATCCTTCCGAAACCGATGGGTTTTGAAGGATTTCGGCATACGCGCGCGACGACGCGCGCGTCTGCACTTCGTCCAATTTTTGCAGAGGATTCTCGCGACGGCACACGCGCAAGGGCGTTCGACTGATTTCGACATGCGCGCGCGAACCCCGTTTAAAGGCATGTTGTGAAAATCTTGAAAAACCTATGGTTTTATTTAGATTTCGCAAAAACTCGCGCGGAAGCTTTTTTAGCAAATCAGTGTTGCGAGACCCTGTGTTTTCCCCACATCCTAGGTGGGGTTCTTGTTTTCTCTGCACACCCTCCGCGCAGGATCTCCTCCTCCTCCTCCTCCCTCTCCTCTGCTCCTCTTTGCTTCCTCCTCCGCATCATCATCACCATCACCATCACTCCCCACTCATCATCATCGTCGCCATTAGCATCACCATCACCATCCAACGATCACCATTAGCATCACCATCACCATCACCATCCCCGTTCGTTTTGGGTCCAGGCGACCCGCACTTCATGTTCGAATCCGAGCGGGTCATCCGCAACGTGCAACTGTCGTCACTTTTGGGCTCTTGAGACCTGAATATGGAGGAAGTCTCGAGCGGGAGTTTCGTCTGTGAGTGAATTGCGAGGAAGTCTCCGGCGGGAGCCCCCTCCCTATGGGGCCCGCAGATCATGTTGGTAATCCGAGCGGGTCATCCGAAACGTGTAACTGTCGTCACTTTTGGGCTCTTGACGCCTGAATATGAATGAATTGCGAGGACGTCTCAGGCGGGAGCCCCCTCCCTATGGGGCCCGCAGATCATGTTGGTAATCCGAGCGGGTCATCCGAAACGTGTAACTGTCGTCACTTTTGAGCTCTTGAGGCCTGAATATGGAGGAAGTATTAGGCGGGAGCCTCGTTCACTTTTGGGCTCTTGAGACCTGAATATGGAGGACGTCTCGAGCGGGAGCCTCGTCTGTGAGTGAATTGCGAGGAAGTCTCAGGCGTCAGCCTCCTCCTTATGGGGCCCGCACTTCAAGTATGAGTGAATTGCGAGGAAGTCTCAGGCGGGAGCCCCCTCCCTATGGGGCCCGCAGATCATGTTGGTAATCCGAGCGGGTCATCCGAAACGTGTAACTGTCGTCACTTTTGAGCTCTTGAGGCCTGAATATGGAGGAAGTATTAGGCGGGAGCCTCGTTCACTTTTGGGCTCTTGAGACCTGAATATGGAGGACGTCTCGAGCGGGAGCCTCGTCTGTGAGTGAATTGCGAGGAAGTCTCAGGCGGGAGCCTGAGACTTCCTCAACGGGCCACCATCGTGTCCTTCGAGTTTCACGCAGACGACGAGCGGGACTACGAGGAGCGCGCGCTGGGCCAGCTCTTCCGCCCCCGCTACCTACCGCAAGGAATCTGGCTGCAGGTGCACGGCTTCCAGGAGCCCCCGATCTACAAGGAGGTCGCCGAGGTGCTGCAGCAGGGCGCCGATGGCGCTGCCGACAAGCGCGGGCGAGGAGCTTGAGCTCACGTGGCAAAGCAGGAGCTCACGTGGCAAAGCTCGGGACGCACACTGTGCGCCGCTCGGGATTCACACTGACGCACGCGTCCTACCTGACCTCCACGCTGTCGCAGGGCCAGACGCTGCGCAAGGGCGTCACCATCGACTGCGCCAGGGATGAGGACGCTGGCTGCACGGGCATGTCGGACGATATGTGGTGGCTGCACCTCTACGTCATGTTCTCCCGCGCCACATGCATGCGGAACATGCTGATCCTGCGGCCGCCCGCGCGAGAGTTCCTGGAGCGCGGGCCGCCGGCGTCCCTGCGGAAGGCGCTCGAGGAGTTCGACAAGAGAGCGGTGGACTCCAGGGCTGAGGCGGAGCAGCTCGCGGCAGAGCTGGGCTTCATGCTGCCCCCCGCCTGAGCGCCGCGGCGCGCGCCTGGAGGCCCGCGGGGTTGTCCCAACGGCTGGCTCCCACGCCCCAGCGGCCTGCGAGGTTGTCTCAACGGCCCAGCCCGAAGGTTTGTCCCGACGGCTTCGCGATCTAGCCGTCGGCAGACGCGCGCGCGCTGGCCGAGGCGGCGACGGCGCTGAGGAAAATGGATTTGTTTGCCCCGACGAGGGAGAAGGGGAGGTGCACATGGAGAAAAGGCAGGGGGATGAGGAGGGAAGGGGCATGGGGGAGGCCGACGACGAGGAGGAGGTGGCGAGAGAGGAGGAGGAGGAGGAGGAGGAAGGGGAGGAGGAGGAGGAGGAGGAGGAGGAGGAGGAGGAGGAGGAGGAGGAGGAGGAGAAAGAGGAGGAGGAAGAGAAATAAAAGGGGGAAGAGAGGGCAGTGCAGGGAGCGAGAGGAGAGGGTGTCCGCCAGGGGGAGGAGGAAAGGGCAAAGGGTAAGCTAAACAGATTCTCATGTGGGGTCCTACCGTCGGAGAAATTGTATGAGTTTTGGAAACCCGATTGCGAAATCCTTCCGGCACCGAAGGTTTTTGAAGGATTTCGGCATGCGCGCGCGACGACGCGCGCGTGCGCACTTCTTCCCATGTTTCGCAAGGGATTCGTGAAAAAGTCTTCTGCCTGAACAAAAAATGTCACCGCATAGTGTTTTTTTTACCAGGGAACCTCAGGGGGGGGGGGATACCGGCCGGCCTGGGATAGTGTAAGTTCATATTTAGGACGGACATGTGGTCAGAATCATATATGATTTACATACCCGAAAGGGGGATTGATAACGCCGGGGGGGGGGTAGATCCTATTCTGTTTTTAGAAAGGAGAATCTAGGGCGGCGACGAGGCGGCGACGGGGCGGCGACGGCGGCCACATAGCCACCAGACCGACAGACAGGCCCAGACGACGGGCGGCGACGAGGCGGCGACGGGGCGGCGACGGCAGCCACATAGCCGCCAGACCGACAGACAGGCAAAGTTCCTCAGAAAAGAAATAAGAACCCCCAAGTGCAAGTAATTACTGTTGGGGAATACACAATTTCGAGCACGCCGCAAGCCATGTCGAGTGCAGTGCTGCGAACGACGGCGAGGGGAACAGAAAAAAAAGAACTGATACCGAGGAGGAGGAGGAGGAACTGGACAGGAGAAAAATGAGTTGCAGGAGCCAAGCAATCAGGGAATCGCTCGGAAAAACTACCGACTCTGTTGTGCTCCTCCTCTGCCAAGCCGATCTGCCGAGACGTTCTGCCAAGCCGAACTGCGAGCTTCCGTGGAGAAGGCGAGGGTTCTCATATGAACACTGGCGTCTGCACGCCATCGAAAAGCTTCAAACCTCTCAAGGCCCGCTGGACGGGGACTTCTTGAGAAATCAGGACCTTGGCGCAGCCGCTAAAACTGCAGCTCCGGGTCGAAACAGCGTCCATTGGTCGAGGTCTTCCTCAGAATCGGGCAACATCCTGCATTTGATGGGCCCAGTTTCCACCAGCACTACCAGATGTAGGAGAGGGAAGAGGAGAAGGAGGAGGAGGAGGAGGAGGAGGAGGAGGAGGAGGAGGACCTCCCCATCCTCCTTTCTCCCCCGTCCTACCTATGGTAGCGGTGGTGGAAAATGCGCCCATCATGCATTGCAAAGTCCTGGCTTCTGGGGCACCGAATGCTGCCAGACCTCAGCACACATCACATCACCGCCTCGACCTGCCGCAGCTCGACCACCCTCACGCCACCACCCGCGACCTCCACCGCCGGCGGCGTGGCCCCGGCGGCGCGCCGCAGCCACTCCAGCGTCTCCGCCGCCAGCTCCGCGTGCCCCGCCTCGTCTCAGGTCGGGCGTCCCCCTACAGGCGGATCTTGGACGAAAGAGAGGATATACACCAAAAGTATTCAAACACAGTCAAAAAATTGAGAAGTCGTCCTCAAGTCGTCCTTCTGCTCTATTGTTTCTGACTCGTTTTGAACATTCCTCCTGTAGAGGGACATGCCCGACTTCAGCCTCGTCGCGGCCCATGGCCCAGCACAGCCGCCCCAGCGCCGGGCGGCCGCCGGCCAGCGCCGCGGACGCCTGTGAAGGGGCCCCAGGACACACAAGCAAAGACACACAAATAAAAAGATGCCCCACATTTTCCCATATTTTCTGGGTTTCTGTCTTCCCCCCCACTTCCCATATTTTCCCATATTTTCTGGGGAATCAATCGACGATTCATTGTGTCTGTGTGTTTTTGTTGCCTCCCGAGCCTGGCCAAACAGCTTGAGGGCCGCACGGCCCTCGCCCTGCAGGCCCTCCGAGACCGCCGCGTCGCCCAGCGCCGCCAGGTCGCGGCGAAGCTGCAGGTCGTGCTCGGGGAACTCGAGCCTCTCTCCGCCCCCGCCCGCGCCGCCGAGCGCAAGGCTGACGTGAGCGTGGAGCACCTCTTAGGTCGGGCGTGTCCTCCTACAGGCGGATTTTCTGGACGAAAAAAACAGAGCGTCAAAAATTGCTCAAGGAGAATTAGAAATTCGAGAGAAACCAAAAAAACAGCAACAACTACTACAACAACAACAACAACAACAACAACAACAACAACAACAACAACAACAACAACAACAACAACAACAACAACAACAACAACAACAACAACAACAACAACAACAACAACAACAACAACAACAACAACAACAACAACAACAACAACAACAACAACAACAACAACAACAACAACAACAACAACAACAACAACAACAACAACAACAACAAAACAACAACAACAACAACAACAACAACAACAACAACAACAACAACAACAACAACAATCATGTTAAGACTGTTCGCCCTTATCTGCTCGAGTGTCCAATAACGCGTATTTCCCAAACCCTCGATACCCGCCCTCTCCGTCTTCGATCAAACCCCTTTTGGGGGGTATACCTTTCTTCCCTGCAGGCCGGGCCCTGGCAAGTGGCGGGGCGGCCGCGGACCGTCGGCCTGGCCAGCGGCAACGCTGATAGGCGGGGCGGCCGCGGACCGTCGACCCGACCCCAAGAGGAACGGACAGGGGACCGACCACGACGACGACGACGACGACGACGTCGACGTCGACGACGACGACGACGACGGCGACGACGAGCGAAAGCGAGAGCGAGAGAGAACGACAGCAGGGCCACAAGGACACGAAGTAGGCCACGAAGGGCGACAGCGGGGACGCGAAGGGAATGCGTATGGGGCCACGAAGAGCGCGAACGAGCGGGGGCCACGCACGAAGGGAATACGTATGCCGGGCCGCGGAGGGCAAGGACGGGGCCACTGAGGGCAGCAACGGGACCACGAAGGGCAGCGTGGGGGCCACGAAGGGCGACAGCGGGGCCACGAAGGGCAGGAAGGGGGCCACGAAGGGCGACAACGGGGCCACGAAGGGCATGCGCATGGGGCCACGACGGGCGCGAACGATCGGGGGCCACGAAGGACAGATCATGCGGGGCAACAGAAGGCAACGACGGGGCCACTGAAGGTAATTAGCAACTGGGCCACGTAGGACAGTGAGGGGGCCACAAACGGCGACAGCGGGGCCACGAAGGGCATGCACATGGGGCCACAACGGGCGCGAACGAACGGGGGCCACGGAGGGCATACCTATACTGGGCAGCGGAGGGCAAGGACGGGGCCACTAAGGGCAGCAACGGGGCCACGAAGGGCAGCGAGGGGGCCACGAAGGGCGACAGCGGGGCCACGAAGGCATGCATATGGGGCCACCACGGGCGCGAAAGAAGCGGGGGCCACGAAGGGCATACATATATGGGGCCACGAAAAGCAGCGAGGGGGCCACGAAGGGCAGCGAGGGGGCCGCGAATGGCTGCAACTGGGCTACGAAGGGCTGCGACGGGGCCACGAAGGGCAGCGAGGGGGGCACGAAAGGCTAGAACGGGGCCACGAAACAAAGCGAGGGGGCCACGAAGGGCTGCAACGGGGCCACGAAGGGCAGCGAGGAGGCCACGAGGGGCTGCAACGGGGCCACGGAGGGCAGCGAGGGGGCCACGAAGGGCTGCAACGGGGCCACGAAGCAAAGCGAGGGGGCCACGAAGGGCTGCAAAGGGGCCACGAAGGGCAGCGAGATCCCGATTCTTAGGTAATCTGTGAGGGAGTCCTAAACGTGAGCGCGACTCCTGGGTGCCTGGGTGTCGGGAGCACGGCGCTCGAGTAAATTGCAAGAATTTCCAGCGCAAGGACGCTATTCTTCAGTAAATTGCAAGCAAGTCTCCAGCGAGAGCGCGACTCCAGAGCGCCGGGAGAGCGATTCCTGAATAAATTGAAAGGAAGTCCCAAGCGAGAGCGCGATTCCTGAATGAAATGCAAGGAAGTCTCGGGCGGGAGCGGGGGAGCGGGGGTCCTGGCTAAATTGTGAGGAAGTCTCCGGCGGGAGCCGTTGTTGTTGTAACCCGGGGGCCAACGACACAGTTCGACCCTCAAGACTTCCCCTCATAAAAAACAGGGTGCGAGCCCTGGGAAGGGCACTTCAGTCGAGGAAAAACAATGTGCACCGGACGGGGGGGATCAACAATAATTATTCTTCAGAAATGAGAGTTCAACCACAACAACAACAACAACCACAACAACAACAACAACAACAACAACAACAACAACAACAACAACAACAACAACAACAACAACAACATCAGCAACAGCAACAGCAACAGCAACAGCAACAGCAACAGTAACCACAACAGTAACCACAACAACAACAACAACAGCAGCAACAACCACAACAACCACAGCAACAACAACAACAACAACAGCAACAGCAACAGCAACAACCACAACCACAACAACCACAACACCAACACCAACAATAACAACAACAACCACAACCACAACAACAACAGCAACAGCAACAGCAACAGCAACAACCACAACAACAACAACAACAACAACAACAACAAAACGTCCCCTGATTATGTTTAACCATTTTTGAATACTCCTCCTGTAAAGAAACGTGCCCGACACTTCAAGCACCTCCTCGTCCTGCGCTCGGGCCGCGAGGCGCGCCAGCCGGGGCGGCGCGCCCGCCACCATGAGCTCCAGGGCGAGCCTGGCGAAGGAGCCCACCGAGGCGTGCTCGCTGAGCCCGGCCGCGTGCCAGCCGAGGCGCTCCTCGTGCGCCGCCGCGCCGGCGGAGAGCTCCTGCACCGCCCGCCGCACGAGGCGCTCCAGCTCCTCCTCGTAGGGCGACGCAATCTATACATATCCACTGCTCCCTGGCCAGGCCCATCCTGAACACAGCAGCTGTGTATACGCCACGCCCTCCTGGTCTGGCCAGGAGGGCGTATACACAGCTCCTGGGTTCAGGATGGGCCTGGCCAGGGAGCAGTGGATATGTATAGATTTCGTCCCCCGATCCTCGGGCAGCGAGGCGATGCCGCCCACCGCCAGCAGCTCCTCCAGCGCCTCCGGGCCCAGCAGCGCCCCGGCCGCGCGCGCGCCCTCCGCGGCCAGCCGCGCCGCGAGGCCCCCCGCGCGCGGCGAGCGGCCCGCGCCGCCCGGGGAGCCCCACTCCCCGCCCGCGGCGGCGCCCCCGCGGGCGGCAGCAGCAGCGGCCGCGACGGGCACGCCGCCGATCTTGTAGGGCCGCCCGATGACACACCCGCACGCCTCGTAGCACCCCTCCTCTCGGGGAGACGTAAGACCCGGGTACGGGGGACTCGGAAATCCCCGACGAGGTCGTCAAAAAAATGACGAGGCCGAGCCTGCATTTTGACGAGGCCTCCCGCTGCAGACATCCCACGAAACTCCTCCTCGTCAAAATCCGAGGCGCGGTCGTCAAAAAACGATGGCGAACCCGAGTCCTGGCAAACCCGGGTCTTACGCTCCCCCGATCCTCGCACGGCCCAGCCGTACCCTCCGGGCTGAGCGCGTGCCCGCCCGCGGAGCAGCCGGCGAAGCAGGCGTTGGAGTAGGTCTGGCAGTCGAGCCCGCAGACCGGCTCGTAGATCTCGGGGCAGAGGCAGCCGGGCGGCCCAGTCGTAGTAGTATGCACATCTTCTGGCGTCGGCTTCGGCGCACCCGTCACCGGCAACTCCAGCTCTAGAGTCACAGTCGTGGTGCGCACACCTTCTGGCGCTGGCGTCGTCGCATCCGTTGTCGCGCACCCGCACTCCTCGTAGCATCCCTCCTCGCACGACCCAACCGTGCCTCCCAGGCTGAGCAGGTGCCCCCCGGCGGAGCAGCTGGCCTTGCAATCGTTCGAGTAAGTATTACAGTCGAGCCCGCAGACCGGATCGAAGATTTCTGGGCACAA